CACACACACACACACACACACACACACACACACACACACACACACACACACCTCAGTGTGTTGCAGTAGGACTTGATAAAAAATGTCTGTAGCATTTAGGAACAAATGTGATATTTGTAATAACAATTCTTCTGAATTTTTACAGAGGCCAGAAAGGAGAATTCAACTTGTATTCTAGGAAGCATCGTACTTGGCCATTTGGGAGGAAGTAAAACAGGCAAGCTGTGGCAGCCAGGTACAGATTTCATTCAGGATCTACTGACATTTGTTGATGAGCAACAGATGCTTATCATCCAAAACGTAAGGTCCGGAGGAAATGGAATTGTATTAGGCTTTATTATTATTATTCAAACTAATCGCCACCCAGCCTGGGTTAACATTAGGATGACTTGAGTGGCTAACAGCGTATAGAAAAAGGGAGCTTTAATAATCAGCTTATGCATTACAACTATTTTCTAGTTTGGTCATGAGAATATTGTTTTTGTTAGGTGCCGTCAAGGAGATTCAGACGCATAGTGACCCCACGCACTATGAACGACAGGATGAAACACTGTCTGTACCATCCTCCCACAGTTATCAGGTTCAAGGCCACTGATGGAGCCACGGGGTCGGTCCATCTCTGTGTCTTCCTCCTTTTCAATGACCTTCTACTGTACCACATATGCTGTCCTTCCCCGGGGCATGTCCGCTGACAAGCGGAGCAAAATAGATGAGATGAAGCCTTGTCATCCTCCCGTCTAAGGAGCATTCCAGTCTGACTACACTTCTTCCAAGATAGATTGGTTTGTTCTCCTGGCAATTGGTGGTACTTTCAATATTCTTCATTACAAACACCAAAATTTAAAAGTAATTCTCAAGACTTCCTTATTCATTGTCCAACTTTCACATGCATATGAGGAGAATGAAAATGCAATGGCCTGGGCCAGGTGCTTAGGACATCAGTCCTCAAAATGACAGCCTTGTTCTTGAATACCTTAAAGAGATCGTATGCACCAGACTTGCCCAATCCAACCTGTCATTTTATTTCTTGTCTGTTGCTTCTTTGCACATTGACTCTGGATCCAAAACCAGGTGAAATCTTTTCCCCGTTTATAATGATGTTGTCTACCAGTCCAGTGATGAGGATTGTTTTCTTTCCATTGAGTTGCAATCCCTACTGAAGTACGTCAAATATCCCTCATTCTCAGCAAACAAGATTGTGTCACCTACACATTTCAGGTCGTTAAGAAGCCTTCCTCCTCCTAATACCATAGTATTTTTCATGTAGTTCAGCTTTTTTATATTATCTGCTCAGCAAACATGAAGAACTACGGTGAAAGGATATAATCCTGACGCAAACTTGTCTTGATATTAAACCACACGATGTTCCATTAATCTATTCAATTGACTGCTAATAGGGCCATGTACACTTTCTGCATAAACATAATATAGAGTTCTGTAATTCCTATTCTTCTCGGTGTTATCCCTAGTGTGCCTTTGCATAGTCAATAAAACACAAGTAAACTTATCCTTGTAGTCGCTGCTTTCAGTCAAGATTGCTCTCACATCAGCAATAATATCCCTCACACTATATCTTCTTTGCTTTTTTGGCAGCTGTCATAACACTAGACAACCATTTTTGTGTTACCTTCTGCAAAATAGTCACTTGATATTAATGGTATAATTTGATAATTTGTATATTCTGTTGGTTTATTTTTCATTGGAATGGACAAAATACTGTTGTTCTCCAGTTAATTGGGTAGGGGGTGGTCTTCTAAATATCTTGACAAAGAGTAGTGAGTACTTAGTGCTTCAACATTTTGTTGAAGCATTTTAACGCACATTCCATCAATTCCTGGAACTTTGTTTTTTGCTAATCCCTTTAGTGCAGCTTGAACTTCTTCCTTTAAAACATTTAGTTTCGGGAAGATAGCGACCGAGTAACACATACCAAAGGGACTCGACAGACATCAGCACAGGAGAGTTACTAAGAGGAAACTCCACACTGCCGGGGCCCAGGAGGAGCATCATAAAGCTAAATGGGCACGGATCCAGTAGGTTTTGAGGAGCTGGGGGCTTTTGGCTTACCACAGTGGACACTGGCTAGGGTTTTCCTTAGCCCTGCCACTGTCTCAGCGGGAGCCAGGATCAATTGGAGCCAGGGCAGGGGCTTTATCTCAATAGAGCCACAGCTTGCCGCCACCTTGGGGCAGGGTTTAAAACCCTCCAGGCCCACAATCAGGGATCCGAGCTCAGCTATATTGTTACTTTTGCTTCACCCTCCTCTTCCTCTCTCTCTCTCTCTCTCTCTCTCTCTCTCTCTCTCTCTCTCACCACAGTCTCAGCCGCCTCTGGACAGGGTTTAAACTCCTCCAAGCCCAGGGTCAGGGCTCAGGGCTCAGCTATATTGTTACTGTTGTTCCCCTCTCTTCTCTCTGTCCCCCCAGCATCTCAGCGGGCTTAGTTCTGCTTTGTTTTCCTTTCTCTCTTCCCTTTTCTCTCACACGCCATTGCAGACCTCCAGAATACTCCTCTTAGAATAGGGCAGTTACGCCTGCTCTCCACCCAGCTAGGAGACATCCACCCTCTGTAGTGTAACCTGAGGTTGGAGAAAGCCCGCTAGCCCTCCACCAGGGAATATCCCACCCAACTTCTTCCAGGGGAAATCCTGCCCATCTTCATCTGGGAAAATTCCAACCGCCAAGCTCTGCAGTGCTTAACACCTGGCTAGGGAAACCCCACCCACCTTTGTTGGGGGAAATCCTGCCTGAGTGACAGGAGAGCTCCAACCATCCTCTGTGGTCCCATGTGACTGAGGGAACTTCCTCCTGCCTACTGTACGTAGTGCCTCACACAGCCTAAGGCAGCTCGGCCAACACTGGCCAATGCTTTACACTGCTGCAGGAACCTCTGCCCGACCTCCGCAGCTATCTACCTGACCAGAGCAATTCTGCCCACCATTTGCTGTGCTCTTCCTCAAAGTGTGGCCTACCCACCAGCCTTCTGGCAATGAGGCATTATCTAAAATGAGTCTTCCCATTACAAGTACAACAGCCAATATAATCTTATCTCTGTGTCCCACGGTTTGTTATCTGCTTGTAAATAACATCTTTGGTTATTTACCTCTATTTCATTGAACAGTCAAATATTAGCAAGGTCCATATGTGGCTAGACTTGAAACTGGCATGTGAACTAGGTGAAGTAGAGTCTACAGATGGAAGTTATTACTGCATTAGCCAAGAGGGGCAAAAGGCAGGCAGAATTTTGTGGACAAAGCAAAAGGAATTGATGGACTATGTATAAAGCTGTGAGAACTCACTAGATAAGACTACGATTTTATAGTACCAGAAAGAATCACTAATGAAAAGGTATTTAACACTTCAGAATTATGAAGTTCATATATTCTCTTATTCGGTGCCTAAGGGTAAAGTTAAGAATTTGGGGAATTCCTTATTGTGTTCAAGCAGATAACTGTAATTCAAACATGCAGATAAATACATGGCTAATAATAATATATTTAAAATATAATAGTATATAGCCTAGTAAAATTAATGAAAAGAAGCTATATAATTAACATAATTACCACCTATTACTACACATCCCACTAAATGATCACAACAACCCTATAAGCTAGATATTATCATCATCCTATCTTTACAGATGAGGGAGTTGAGGTTTACAGAGATAAAATAACTCACCCAAAGGTCACTTCATTAGAAGTGGTAGAACCAAATTTTAAACCCAGTCTGAATCCAGAGCTTATGCTCTTGGCACTATGTTATACTGTAGTTGTATCTCTAAGAAAATAACTGCAAAAAGCAGGAAATTTTTATTTTAAATCAGGGGTATGCATTTTTGTTTTCTTAGTGTCTTTTCTTCAAATAACGTATTTCTCAGAAGTAAATGTATAGGAGAGATAACAACTAAGCACCCCACCCTTCCTGCCAATATCTAGACCTCAAAAGAACTCCTGAACAAGATGGATTTTTAAATCACTCAAATCATGGTTGGATATGGTTAGACTGCTGTGTCTTAAATTCTAAAAGATATTACTTATATTTCAATGGGAAATATCAGTAAATTTCAGCCCTAAAACCCTCATCTTTATTTCAGTTATAACTTCAAATTCACTGATTTAATATATCTAAAAATCAAATTTTAAGTTGTAATTTATTAGCCACAAATCATTTTGGGGGTGGGTGAGTGGGAATATGCAGTGCCCAATTTACCTCTGTATCAGGGCCAGTGTTTGCTGACAGAGCAGTATCTGTGTTTACTTTTAAATACTTAGAAATGAGAAATGGACACAGGAATAGTTCTTTAAGTGTTTCAACTGCCAATCTTTCATATTGGAGTTATTCACTGCCAATTACTTGCTTCACCTTAACCTTTACTATTCGGGAGAATGTTAAGTGGAAATGTTTATTGAGGTGTATTTTGCTAGCAACAGTGTTCTTGATTCATTCAGCCTGGTGACCATTTAACTTCCCCATTGTGGCTTTAACAGCAGCAGTGACAATAGTGAACGAAACAAAACAAACAAAACTCACTGCCTTTTTTAGGTCAACTTGATCCATTTGTATCACAATAAAAAGAACAACCTCAACAAACTCACTCACATGCTTTGTGATTATTTTCCTGGAAACTGTCTGACATCCCTGATACATAATTGTAGAAATACCTTAATATTTGTTGTGTGGACTTATTGAATCAATTATCATTGCAAATTTTAAAATTAACTCAGGGTTACTGATTATCTCAGAAGACTGCAAGCTAAGCTAAGAAAATTTTCTGAGTTGCAATTAATTAAATGGTAGATTTTCAATAACCTTGCCAATAAATGGTAACTTTAAGCAGTACAAGCGCCCCAGTTTGTTTCATAACACAATGGAAGTTTCATGAAGTTTTCTCTTGTGAAGCGTAAGCTGACTCAAGCCAGACACAGGTCTCGCTTCTTATGAGCTCTTTACTCACCTTTCAGAAGCACTACACAAGTGGGCCGCTGGTGAGATGATCTCAATGTCTATTTCCATAGATGGTGAAATATTCTACACTTAATTTAACACATTACTTGAATCCTTTTCATATTTGGCTAATATTAAAACTGAAGCCAATGGAATCCAAGTTACAAAGAATTTTTGCAAAACCACCACCCATCAATAAACCCCTAGCTGGATATATAAAAGCTCTGCTGACTGGAACAAATGTTTCAGGTGCGGGCTTCCCTATGCAGGCCAGGGGTTACATCTTTCAGAGTTCTCCACCAACGGTGAGAGAATTTATGTAGAAGCAAATTGTAAGGAACTAATGGGAGTGATTATTTATTAAGCTTACTGTGGCAGTTACATAATATCCTGAGAGTATGTGATTTCTGAATGTAATCCATTCATTCATTCATGTCCTAAATTTCTCTGTTTTTCAGTTTCTTTATTTAAATATACAGGCTTCTTATTACAAATCAAACAAAGTTTAGGATCAGAATTTTTAAAGCAATTGACCACTAAAATTCCATCACTGAAACTTTCTCCTGCCAACTTATTCCCCACAGGTATTATGGTGCAGTATTTATCTTTACTCCTCCCTCCATTCTTTAGAAGGTATACAAATAATTAAAATGCGTTATCAAGATATGTTGCAAAGGTTACAGTTGTACACTTTTTGATAGCTTAGCCACCAGAGCTCACCAGGGCTGGTATGCTTTCCTACAGGAACTACAACTGCATTGCCGGCTTTCCTACCTACTTTTCTACCCATCCCTCTCAGACCACAAACAAAATACGCCAGTTACCACCAAGCAGCTTCTGACTCACGAAAATCCATACCGAATTTTACACCGAATTTTCCTTCTCAGTAATTAATGAATCTTCTTCTCTAACTTCTCAGCATTTCTCATGCTGTATAACTATGTCATTTTTGCGTACTTGAGTTATCTGCATTGTAAAACCTTATCAAGTCAGCATGTCACAGATTAATATGCAGGCATGCAGATTGTGCAGTACGTGATAAGATTTAAACGTTGAATTATAAAGTTGAACACAGGTTATCAGCAAGGAAAGTAACAAATGAATATATCTATTACGTATGAATGCCTCTCATGACTGATTTCTAGTGTGATATTCATCTTGGTACTTCCTTGTTATTTACATTTTTCAAAACTTTATTCATCCTTACAGTTCCATTACCTAAAAAATATTAAGAAACTATTTTTCACTGATCTCAGGACCTACTATATGTAGAATTATTTACATTACAAGTTCAAGAACATAACTGTGTAAACCACTATACATACAGACATAATGGCTTTACGATATATATATATGTCAAAAACCACAGACTAACCGGTTAAGGACAGTGTACACCAATAACATAACAACAACGTAACTGTGGAGAGTGGGTGGCTCAACAAGAAACTGGAGGAATACATAAGCTGAGTTACAAAAGTTTATATTTTTGAAAAGATCCTAGTTTTATGCCAAATACCCTAATTTTAACAATTACTTTAATCAAAGCAATTCTGGGCTCTTGTAAATAGAGAATAGGAAATTAAGTGACAAAAGGCCTTACGGTGATGATTCCAGAACGATGCTATTAGCTTGTGTCGATGACGGAGATCTGTGATTCACGAATATTTCACTTGGAGACGTGTGAACCACATGATCTACCAAATGCCCAACGGAAGATGGCCGTAAACGGGTTCCCTCTTGTGTAAATGCAAAATTTCGACTACAAAGAGGAAGAAAGGCTCAGTAAAAATATGCTTTGATTAAAACATTTAAGTTTCTTAATTATATACATTATATACTTGTGTATAAGCCGAATTTTTCCAGCACATTTTAAATGGTAACATTAGGTGCCTCGGCTGATATTCAGGTCGGCTGATATTTGAGTATATACAGTAGTTGCATTTGAAAGAGGATGTATATTATTAAGACTAGCAAAATCTCATAAAAATATGTTGTGACAAAAACAAATTATTAACACGATGAGAAATCATATTGATCTATCACACTAGATTATTCAACTATACCATGTTCTTCTTCCTATATCCAGCTTTTCTGATTATTTGTTCAGCACACAGATTAAATGAATTTTCTGAAAGGACACAAACCTGAAGCACATCTTCCCAGTTTATCATTTCATGTAATGTGCAAAATAATAAAAAGTATTATTAAAATGTAATTTTAAAGACAAGGAACATAAGAAGAGACTAGTGATGTAACTTGCCCAAGGTTCAAAAATACATGCACTCTAGGACCCATGCACTCAGCCGTTGTGTCCTTAGTTTTTAAAAATGTACTTTTATTTTCAGATATTCATTGTCTCATTAACTGAGACAATTTAATAACTATTAACTAATAACTCATTAACTGAGACAGTCTCAATAACTGAACATTTAAATCAGCATTATGTCTAATTAATGGAATTATCTGATCTAAATTTTTTGTGTTTTATATAATTCGTTATTAACTATTTAGTGGTGCTGGTTACATGGCTGGTTGCAAAAGGAACTGGGGGAAAAAGTTTCTGGATTTTTTTCACATAAGTGGATTAGCCTTTCAATATATGTAGTCTTATGTCAGGAAACATGATTTAGCAAACTGCAACAAACAAAATAGAAACTTGATTCTATTTTTTTCCAGAAATAAAGAAGACAGTAATAATTCACTTTCTGTGAATCATATTGTTTATGAACATAAGCTTCTAATGTGGTCAAAATTTATTCTTAGGCTGGCAAACACTATATCGATAATACAACTTTTAGACTTCAGTCCACATTTATTGACCATGGATGTATATATAGTATTTTGAAAGGAAGACTCCTTGATATATATTCTATATCAAAATTCAGACATTTTGCAAATGAACTTTTTGTGTTAAAGTTTCTTCACATGCTTATACAAGTTTGTTTAGCACTATCTTAATTACATGCATATGTAGAATATAATTATTAACATGATACAATTAAGATAATATCTTTGGTTAGACCAATACTATTATATCTAATGAGAAAGCATACAACTTTTGTGAGAAATGCTATATTGAAGTAAATACATAGTTAACTGGTGAAACACACAATAGTTCTTAGCAGTTATATTTGTGGAGAATGGTGCTAGAAATCTCTGGTCTAGGGCGTAGAGGTGTTTGAGTAATGCTTAGGTAGGGGGCTTGAGTAACAAAAGCACAATCACTCAGAAGGTATTTTCAAATACTATATGCTCGCCTATAAATTTTGCTAGGAATCCACATAGAAAAAAATTATGTTACAATATCATATGAGATTTTAAGTCTACCAACATCCTGATTTATTGGCTATGGGCTCTTAGAAAATGAGATTATGTGTTCACTGTTCTACTCTCATCCCCAGAGGACATTTCATGTGACTTCTGCTCTCAACTGCTACTTCCACTGCAGGCTAAAAACAAGTAATGCTCCAGAGTTTTAAAAAAAAAGTCCCATATGACCACGAATTTCTATATACCCTAAAGGAGTCCTGTTGGTGTCAGAGGTGAGGCTGTTAGTCACAAAGTCTGAGGTTCAAACATACCAGTTGTTCTTCCAGAGAAAGATGAAGTTTCTGTTTCCAGAAAGACTGCGTCTAGGAAGCCCTGCAGAGCATCGTTAATGAATCGAAATCTACTCAATGGCTATGACTTTTAAAAAAGCTTTGGGTAATAAAAATATGCAAACAATAATTTATACATCAGCAAGGTACTTACTGATTAGGAGTTCCAGGTGGAGACCGTGATGGAAGGCTTTGTGTTTCTAATCTGTCATCAGATAATGAAATTCTGCTTACTATTTCCCAATCCATTAATTTCCGTGCCAAGGGCTTACTTGGGGATCTGCGGAAATATTTTAAATGCGACGTGAAAATCTTTATGTTTATCGCTCTACCTATAAATCAAATCCGAGAATTTGTCTTAATAGATCACATTCTATATGAGTCAACAAAGTTTATCACTTCTATGAAACGAATGCACTTGGAGGCTACTGACCAAATGCTTTCCTTAAGAGCACATCTGTTTCAGGTGCGGAATGCGGATGGTAAACCAGGAGTGGCGGAAGAATGAATTTGGGAGAGGAGTGACGACAGGAACAAAAACGAAACAGAAGAACATGGAAGTAGCTTGCTAGTAAATGTGTTCTGAGATAGTAGCATCATCAGACATACTGCCTGCTCCCTTTCTACCATCTCTGGAGCTCTAGCCAATCTTAGGATATATTAAATAATTCCCGACATTATTTCTGGAATGTTTAAAATTTTAAACCTTGCATCTCCGACTCAATGTAGTCAGAGCAAAACCAAAATTATACACATACATATCCATCCATCCATCCATCCATCCATCCATCCATCCATACATACATACATACTTTAAAAACAAGGTAGGCCAGTATATATTCTTAAAGTCCAGAAGGTTAATTTATACTGTGGTAAGGAGAAGAAATGCATATTTTACTATCTATTTACAGATTGCCAGTTATAGTGAATGATCAGCGTTTTCTAAACCACATACTTCTGTTAGCTTGAAAATGACAGCGATTAAGATTTTACTTTGCATAAATGAATTTTAAGTAAACTAAGTAAACTCATCATGAGTTTAAGTTAAAGAATTCCTTGACTTGAAGATATGTCTAGATACCATGCCACAGTACAGTGCCAGTATTTGTCTCTCACAAAAATCAAACCTTTATGACTCTTGTATTAACACAAATTCTTAATGCTGACAATATGTCCTTTCCTCATATTATTAGATACATAATAAACTGTAAGATAAACATAAACTATAAGACAGTTCACCATTTATAGTCAGAAGGCCAATCGCTTTCTTTTTCTAAGAGCAGGCAGACGTTTTTTTATGGAGGAAAATATTCAACATACTCACCTAAAATAAGGTTTCAGAACACTTCAACATGTCTGCGACAGCTTTAGCTTTGCATTTATAACTAAATTTCAGGTATTTTACTTTATTAACAGTTTTAACCTCAAAGAGCCACCCACTCAAGCTTGCTATGTTTCCTGTTGCATGTGGAAATTTCAGAGAAAAAAATACCACAGTGCATTAGTGTGTTTGCAATGTGGTAAATTTATTTTCTGACTATGGCACCTTATTTTTCTGCTTTCATCTTAGAAATTATATGACAATTTAATATTCTGTTGTGGCACTCATAGTACTACAGTAGAATTGGTAATTAAAGTATATTTATCCATTTTAACTTATTAGGAAAATGGGAGAAAGAGTTATTTTCTTATAAAGAGTTCCAGTCTCAGAAACTCACAGCAGTTCTATTCTGCCCTAAAGAGTAGCCATGAGTCCACATCAACCCAGTGGCAGTGAATTTTTTATTGCTATAGTTTAGTTCCAACAGTCAGAATCAGAAGCATAGTTATTTTTATTTTAACAAGCACTGAAGTTGAGTGTGGTTAATCCTTTATAATACTAAGAATTAGAACAAGTACATTCTAACTCAAAACAACAAAGCCAACAGTAATTTCTTACTCAAGAGCAATTACGTGGAAAACTGTTTAAAATTAACAGTTAATTACATATTTTACCGGTGTACAAGTCACTAGTACTTTTAAAATAACTAAATGGTAAACAATAAAAAGCATCTTATCTGTTTCTTAGCAATATGATATAAAAAAACATGGAAATGGCAAAATACTTTATGAAATAAGCTTTCATATTTCTCAAAAATAGTAAAATATAAATGAGAATGGGAAAAAAGTAAAACCATCTCTATTTACAAATGAACAAAAAACCCAAACCCCATCATCATGCCTACCACTACCAAAGGCCATGCCTAAAGCCATGCTTCTGATGGGAGCATAAATCTTTATGGGTGCCAACAGACTCATCCTCTCTTCCCTTGGGGCAGCTCATGGGTTTGCACCAAAGACCTCGCAGCTAGTAGCCAAACGTGTAACCAACGCTCCAGCAAGGCATGAGATGCTATATGCAGAAAACACCAAAGAACCCACCAGGGACGTTCTAGAACTAACAGAAGACTTAAGCAAAGCTGCAGGGTAGTCTAGCAATGAAAATTTTATATGCAGGCACTGAGAAATCTCAGAGTGAGGTTAGGGAAACAATTCCACATAAGAGAAGAAAATACCAAGGGAATGGAAGAATTTACACAAGGAAAACTAAAACATTGGTAAAAGAGGCTAACGAAGGCTTAGATGAGTAGAAATAAGTTCCATGTTTATTTTTACCTACTTAATATTGGTAAAATCCAAATAAACCTATAGATTTGTCTCACACATGATCAAAATTCCAAAAGCCTTGTTGAACAGAAAATCAAGCCTCAACTTTACACAGAAAGGCAAGAGGCCCGGGATAGCTAAAACAAAGCTCGAAAACGTGAGGAATAACACTACAGAATTAAACATTCCTTAAGATAACCATTTGAAACCAAAGGCCCAGCATTTGCCCAAGGGCAAAGTTCAGAAAGCAGGAAGAAATCAGAATGGAAATGGGAAGAGAATGCAAAAGTGGGGTAAGAGTTGCTACCTTGTAGAGATTACAATTAATGACATGCAACAAATTGTGTCTAAACTGCTGAGTAGGAAATGGATTTGCTTTGTAAACCTTCATTTAATCCACAATTTTTACTGTTGTTAGGAGATACTGAGGAGCTTTTGACTCATAGTGATTCTATGAACAACAGAATGATCACAATAAAATAATAAGTTCAAATAGAAAGTTTAAAAACAAAACAAAAATAGAACTACTATATGACGACCAATTCAAATGCAAACATGGCAGTAGAAGTGGCTTACCTTGCAAATACCCTATCTTTATTTGCCTTTTCTTTGCCATACTGTACTGACTGAACTTCGGTTCTCCCACTGAAATACATAATAATGCACAATCATGAAAACCTCAGGAGAACGATAAGAAAATTACATGTAACACGAGACTGAAATTGCACATGCAATATTTCTAGCACGGAAAAGACCGCAGAGGATGAGACTGGATTGTGTTCATTATGCCTGCAGATCAAGCTACACTTCTTCCACTGATGACAAGGATGCGTCCCCCAGGCACTGCCCATCGTTCTTAGCACTTGCTTGATATGCCAGAGCATGCGCTCTACACGCAGACAGGGGCTGCTATGACCCAGTTCTTCTAAGACCCTCCCTCTTCAATAAAACCCCAACCAGAGATTTAGGAATTTTACTATTGTTTCCACCACTCCTTAATAAAGGGTTGAAACGTGAGAGATCTTGGAGGTCTGCATTTTAGGGAGCAAGCTCTTTCTCTGACTACCAATGATCAAAGATAGGAAGATTGACTTCACCTTCAGTTTCCTCCATGTTCACACATAAGCAACTCCAGATTTTGGGGTATAGGCAAGAACTGAAAATAGAAATATGGTTGGTGTTTTAACACTGGAGGACCTGTCTTATGGCTGATTTGCCTACAAGACACACTGGTGATGTATGGAAACTGGTCCTCTTCTGTTGGATACCAAGGTGTTCAAACCAATTTTGCCAAAAACTACTTGATTCGTTTCATGAAGCATAACATTATCTATGCCTAAAGGATGTAACTGTCTAGCATATCAAACACAGCCATAGGAACATGAGGATATCTAATATATATAAATAGCCAACTACAGGGAACACGCAAGTAATTTAAAAACCATCCATCAGTAAATGTCAATTAAATCGCATGCTTGCGAGATGTCAATAGAAAAATTGGTAACATATTAAACTTTGAGATGGGGACATCTCCTAAGAAAGGATTTCCTCTAAGAAAAATCACACTTGGGAGCAAGCACCAATATATGATTCACCATGGTTTTGTATTTCCACATTAGCACAATTTTAATCCTCTAGATATTTTGGAATGGAAATACACATATACATGTATATGAGTTTGGTTAAACAAAGTCTTTCCTCTCATTTATATGAGGAGTTTGGTTAAACTCCTCTCTCTCAATTTATCTATCTCACAGATCATCTCTAAATTTATATACTATTTCAACATATTTATATTTGTTTGCTCAAACTAGCTCGTGTCACAAAAGTGACACCAGTTTAAAATTTATTTTCCTCATTTTATAACCTGGAGGATTTTGAAGGCTCTGACCTTTTAAAGATGTTTTAAAGTTTATTTCATTATTATTTTTCCTTTGTATTTGTGGAGCATAACACTCACAAAACTATATTATTCATAGTTGCACAGCCCATCATCTCAGAACAGGGACAGTATTCCAGTAAATCTCTGTGTCTATACCTGCTTGTTTTCCTCCCACCACTTCCCCTCTTTCCTCCCGGTCTCTTCTACTGTGATGCACAAAGTTTTCATTGTCTGATGTTCAGAAGCACAGGCTAGTCCTTCTTTGCCAGCCTACCTCACTCTGGAACCTCCGCTCAACAAGTTGACCATGGTGAACCTGCTGGTATTTGAAATACTGACGGTACAATTTCCAGTACAACAGCAACACATAAGCCAGCACAGCCCACAAACTGATAGATGGAAGTATAGTCTTTATGTAATACCCCAAGTTTCCATTGAGTTAGGAATATCTCTTAAACTCCTTGTGGGAGTCACCTTAGGTAGATTGTATCTCTTTTTGCAGAAAACCATGAAGATGCCACTTTCCTCTTTTAAGATTGAATTCAGTAGGGAAAGGTTTCTGCATTATCCTGGACTTGTGCACTTGGGCTTATACTCTCTTCTTCAGTCTGTTTACATCTAAAGTTGGAAATACTTGTCACCTGAATTTCTTCCCTATTGATTTCAGGAATGTGGGAGCTAAAAATGATAGACACCAAGATACTTAAGAATGTAGTACACCCCACTTTCTCTATTTTGAGGGGATGTTGTTATGAACTGAATTATGTTCTCCCAAACCAGGTCGTAAATCCTAACTTCTAGGCTTGTGGTTAGAATGCCATTTGGCACTAGGTTGTCTTTCTTATAAAACTGAGGGTGCATTTTGAGTCGGTCTGCTTTGACGCAATCTATTTGATATATTTGGAGAATAAATAAGTCAGCAGAGCTGAGATGGTGGAAGAGCTGCAAAACTACACTACTGCATAGGAGCAGAGGTCAAAGACCTCTCTACAGCCAACAAAGAGAAGGACTTCCCCTAGAATTAGCACTCTGGATACAAGCTTGCTGCCTCCTAAACAATGAGAAAACAAGCATATTTCTGTTTGTTAAAGCCTTCCCCTTGTGGCATTTCTATTGTAACAGCATTGAGTAGCTAAGGCACAAACATTGTAATACTCCTAATTCTGTTAACTATTGCTGCTGAATTTTGGGGCAATGCTTACTACCTATTTTTTTTTACCAAGTATTTTTAAAGCGATATTCTGTACTAAACTTTATGATGCCATCTTTCCTAATAAATTAGGTACTTTCAAATGTATACAGTTTATAATAAATGTTTTCCGGGCCACATCTAAACATTTTGCCTCATGAACATATGAAAGGATTCAATCCAAAATATAATGGCCATGGTTTTATTTATTGAAGAAGGAAAATCTTTTGTGAGGGACAGACACACAAATGAAATAATTTCTCTTATGAGAACAAGATGAATAATTTTCCTATGTGATTCTTTTAACAAAGTTCATTTAAAAAGTAACTTTCACGGGCCCTTTAATAATCCCATAAGCCCTAAGTGAACCATGACAAGGAACTCAATGTGGAATACTCATTAAACAAATTGGGTCCTACCTCAAAACTACCTGTAGCACTTGGACTTAAAACTGAAAATGCCCTGATGAAAGAAAAGACAAATTCACGGCCACCCCAAGACCATGGAATTGGCGTCATTGGACTTTGCTTGGGATCCCTGCTTAGTGGGTGTCCAATGAAAGGGGGTTCAGAACCACCCTCTATTTCCTCTGTCACTATCGCCGTGTATTGTTATGCATTAATCTGATAGGCAGGGATTTGCCCTGGTAATAAGGAATGTTACAAGGACTTGTCCACTAGCACCAATCCCCAGGCTTAATGTAAACTGAGCTCAATCATGTAAGAATTCCATATATACAAAGGAACCACTACAGAATGCGCTACATGGCTGGTCTATACTTACATAGCCTCCTTTTCTCAGTAGAACCTTAAATTATATGTCATTAAATAAATTATTCATGTTATCAATGGAATCACTTTACATCGCAGAGTGATGATTAATCACGTTTTTGTCATAAAATGACAATAAAACTGCTAAAGTAAACCAGAGATGTGCATAATCCGTGGATGGGTGGATGGATTCTGGGTTCCCACTTAGTTCTAGCTTCAATCCAAGAGGCCACAGTTCTTATAACTGGCCCTGCCTGCCCAAGACTCGCGATCACGAAGTCACCACTGAAAAGATGGGTGCTGCCAGCACAGTGTGGTGAAGAAAGCAGATCGTGAGGGCTATTGGTTGGAACAGTATCTGGGTTCTTAAAGGTGTGTGTTCAAAGAAGCAGCCATTTAAGTCAGGTGTCAACTAAATCCACGTGGAAGCAGCACACCAGCCCGTGTGATCCGAAGAAGACAAATAACAAAATCCAAATATAATGAAGGGAACGGTATCAGAGCTCAGAGAGTGGAGGGCAGTGGGAGCCTAAAATCGTACATGCAGGGGACGAGTTGGAAAAAGCCTCTGGAGAAGCGGCTCTCAACCTTCCTCATGCTGTGACCCTTTAACACAGTTCCTCATGTGGTGGTGATGTGACCCCAACCATAACATTACCTTTGTTGCTACTTCATAATTGTAATTTTGCTACTGTTATGAATCAGGTGACCCCTGTGAAAGGGTCGTTCGATCCCCAAGGGGGTCGCAACCCACAAGTTGAGAACTGCTGCTCTAGTCTAGCAGGATCCCGTGTGGCCACAGTCAAGGGACACAAACAGTTTGCTGCTAGACAGAGATTACATAAACCTGATTACGGTGGATGGAACTGTGGCTATGTGATTATGTGGTCAGCTGACCTCCCTCTTGACCCAACGTGAACTTGCCCTATGTTGAAATATTTCTTGCTTGTTCCACGACAGAAAATTTTGCTGGCATATATTAACATTGCTGGTGGTCTTTTCTTGCTTCCTCTATATTTTTATTCCTTCTTACTATTTGTGATATGTTTCCCAGTTTTATTAAACACAGAAGGATTGAATACATGGAGGCAATAACGGATGTAATTTATCTGGGATGGGGTGGGGAGCACATAATGAATGTGGGAGGATACGGGATGCAGTAGCACTGATTGTGATGATACATACACAACTTTTAAAAAAGGCAATTTAATTATGGGAGTGCATAATATGTAATTTTGTAACAATGAGTATATGGGTGGAAAAACAACATCAAAAAAGAATTCCATAGATTAATCAGTTGTTAATGATCTTATTTACTCAAGTTTAGAATAACCCTTCAAAAATTGTTGCCCTCAAAGAGGCAAAAACCTAACAATAAATAATACTGTAATTTTACAAAAAGGACTTAAGGCAATTGTTCTATGGCTAATTCTAATTTTATCTACTCATTTTGAATTTTTATGATAGTTTGGCAACTCTAAATATTCTAAATTCTGGATAATAGACAAAAGCAATTATTAAATGTTCATGTGTAAGATAGTGTAAGTTTTATAAACACAATAAAAATACCTAAGAATAAAGAATGTTTTCTTGTAAATATTTTTAAAAGATACATGGAAATTATAACACTTTTCAGATCATAAATCAGTAAATGTTAATTTACATTAGAAAATAGTTATCGGGAATATTGTCAATGAAAATGGGCATTCAAAAAGTGTGGTTTCTATATCACAACTTATAAAACCTTTATTAATATGGCTCTAAGTGCCCCACCCCTTAGGGTGTTGAGTCAGGAGGTTTGGCCCCAGAAACTAGACCTGCTTTTTAAAGGAAGTGCAAATCCAAAAATAAAGCCCCGTGGAAAGGCAATACTTACCAGTATCGGAATTTTGAACCCAAACTAAAATAATGTGCAAAAAAATTCTTCTGAGGTGGAAGTGGTCTGTCCAAACGGAAAAATGTGTGATGTTCTACACATGCTTTCCACAAATTTTTACATGATCTGTAATTCACCATGTTAAATCCCAATAATATTTCTCTAGATTCATGCTGTAACAAAAGACAAAAATGCAGAAAATACCATGAAGAGTTCAGAATTTAAAGCTCCAATAAATTTACTTTCTATAGGTTATTCTAGCCATGCTAACACTAATACCTCTAATATATTTTGGTTTATCCAACAAAAAGATCAGTAAAATGAATAAATTTGCAAAACATGTACCTCATTCAGTAACATTGTAACTCTTCAGAATCTTTATCATAGATCATAATTAGAAGTAAGTTTTAAAATTTGGTACATATTAATTTCTAAAATCAATGTATAATCCCAGTCAATAAAATATACCTTCAAGTATATAATCAAGCTTTCTATAATACTCCAAGTTCTGTAAATTTCTAATTGCAAATAAGTAAGCTGAGCACCTTTAGGCACTGCTAAAAAATTTTACCTTTTAAGTTTAATGCAATAGTAGCATTTCTTTATTTTTTCTACAAGTTTTACATAACCGATTTAAAAAAAAATAGCTTTATTAAAGTAAATCATCAAAGCACACATCTCATGAAACTGCACATCTTTATTTTCCCTATAATGAGCACAACCCTTTAACTACCACCTAGATCAAAGAGTTATTAATAGCATCCCAGAAATATTCCTTGTCTTCACTTTCTCCCAGTCATTATCTTACCCTAAAAGGTAATTATTATTCTGACTTTTATTTTATTATGACAGATTAGGTATGCATGCTCTGGGCCTTTATATAAATAAAATCAGATAATATGTGTTCTTTCCTGTGGTTTATTTTGCTAAACATTGTTTTTTATATTCATCCATATAGTTGGTGGAGCTATTCACACATTTTTGTTCTGCATAGTATTCCATTATATGAATATACCACAGTTTATTTACCTACTGTACTGTAAATAAACATTTGATATTTCTAGTTTAGGTTTATGAGAATACTGCTGCTATATATAGTTACAAACAAGTGTATATTGGTATATTATATGTATATTTCTGTTGCTAAATATGCTCAGCGTTAAGGAGATAATGTTCAATCGTTTCTCAAAATGGGTAGATCAATATATACTCTTCTAGCAGTGCAAGCTCCACATATTCACCAACCCAAGTTTTACCTGTTCCCCCTCACCTCACACCCACAACCCTCAATTTTACTATTCTGGTAGGTAGGGGGAAAGAAGTATTACACTTTGGTGAAAATTTGTACTTCCTTGATGACTGATGAGATGAACATTTTTTCAGATTTACTGGCCATGTGGGCATAATTTCTGAAGGGTCTACTCAAGTCAATAGTCTATGTTTTCTATTTGCCCTTGTATGTTTACGTGTATATAAAATACAAAGGGTTTCAAAAGTTCATGGGAAAAAGCCATTATGTTTCAATTCCATAATTGCATAAGCTTTTTAAAGGCCCCTCAAGCATACTTATTAATTTACTGATGCTCCAAATTATCGATCTTTCCTTTTAAAATTTAATAGTTTTTCTATGGATTATTTAAGAAATCTATGCCTTTTACAAAGTCATGAAGAGATTTTTCATTTCACTAAAATACAGTAAAAGACTTATGGAGTACAGCTAAACGATCATGTTAGAATATGTTTAAGACAATGTTTCAGTTGTGGTTCATAATTGCTCGGTACACACTAACTTAAGTGTTGCTTTTTTTAAAAATATGTAATGCTTCACAAATCTGTACCATTCCAATTTTAGAATATGAGCTGCCGAAGCAAGCACTAACTTAGAGTCCACACAATATATAATATACTATAAACATTAAAAAGGACAGAAAATATTTCATATTGTGTATGATACAATAATGTTTCTCAATGCCAGTAGCATTCGTGATACACATACTAATCCTACCCTTTCCTGGTTATTAGCATACCTTTCGAAACATTTGTATGATTTTGACATTATGTCGATTGTATTTGAATTTAAATTTTTCTACACACATTTTATCTAAAATGCTCTACTCGGTTTTTGGATAAAACAAACCATTTTTTCCTATGTCAATGATGATCCCAAAACATTACACTGAAAGATATGTAAATTCTATGAAGTTTGAATATTTAAAAACAAAGAACTGTTACAGAGAGACATTATTATTATTATTATTATTTTTTTAGAGAGACATTATTAACCCAGGCTGTCGATTGTAGAATACCTGTCTTAGTTTATGCAATTGTTAGCTGATTTTTGTTTCTGTAATTTGTGGTGGAACGCACTCTTATAGGAAGTACTAGCGTGGAGAATGCCTGTGAGTTACATTTGACACGAAAAGTGCTCTGTATTTTATCAGGTACATAGCAAGTTCTTAACAAATGTTAGCTGTTATAGCAGTTTCTACTACAATAGCATTAGTAATATTATAGAAATAAAACTAGAATATTGCCCTACCATGCTGTCTACCTGTACAGCTAGTTAAAAGTATTTGGCTGCTTTCTAAAGTTTCCAAATAGCATGACTTACTCTATCATACTCCTTTCATCACTTATTGAAGCACATACAAGATGTTCATTAGTAGCACTGGCCAAAATAATTCCAAGAAATAAACATCAAAATTGTCCCCACACTGAAGAATGAATAGATAATTTATGTCTACTCTTTCAGTGGAATACTATACAGCAATGGGAAAGAATAAATCGTAGTTATGTACAACATGGATGAATCAACAAACTATGTTGAGGGAAATGAATTGGAAAGAAAACATACTGCATGAATCTAAAGTTCAAAGAGAAGCAAAATAATCCATAGTGATAGAAATGAGAATGTTTTACCTTTGGGGAGGTTAATGACTGGAAGCAGGCATCGGTAGGCTTCTGGGATAATGTTCTACATATCTATTAATCTGGAAGGCGTTGATATGGGTATGTTTATTATATGAAGCTGTATACTTAGTATTGTATACTTATGTGTTGTGTTTTATTTTAATAAAAATTATCTACAAAATTCCTACATATTTTCTGAGACTAAGTTATAAACATAGTTAATTAGTAGATCAATATCCTTTGATAAAATGCAGCAGCTCTGTATATTAAGATCTCAATGACATTTGTACACACATATGCAGTCACTCTGAACTTTGAAGTAATTTATCAAGTTTATCAGTTATGAGAAATAAATAAGTCAAAGGATATGATTATTTTAATTTGATAACCAGATAAGATTTATGTGATAAAAGTCTTTCAAATACTATGCTCTCTGATAATGCAATGCATTGGATCTCATACCAAGGTCAGTCAAAAAGTATTGCTGCAAAATAGAAAACTTTATTAAACAAAAGCCATCAAAATACGAAGCTATTGCTTCTCCACATACCCTCCATCTAGGTCCATACACTTCTGAAGGCAGTGTCTCCCTATCTCTAACGCCTACCAGAAGAATTTTGAGTTCTTCAACTTATACCATGCCAAAATGATAGTTTTGGCATCCTCAACTGTTGAATTGTGCTTGTTTAAATGTTCTTTGATTTTTGTAAACAAAAAAAAGTCTGAAGGGTCAAGATCAGGGCTGTAGAGTGGATAGCCAACAAAATATTGTAGTACAGTCCTTTGCTACCCGCTAAGAATGAGCAGAGGGGCATTGTTGTGATGGGGAAAAATTCAATTTTCTAAAAAGTTCTTTTGTAATAACCTTTCTGATCATTCTGTCCTTCAAGAAAATAGTCGCCATCACTTTCTGAACTGACCTCTCTGCTTTGGACGTAACTGTTTCAGCAGAGTCCTTCAGAGTCACTGTCTTGACTGGGTCTTTATGTGAAAGCCCCTGAACCAGATTAAGAAAAGCGTATGATGGAGAGAACGTGTCTAAAGGCGTCCACGGGTTGCAGAGACAGATTTAAACAGGTTTGGTATGGAATAAGCGAACGCCTGCCTGAAATAGCAATACTTTCTGACTTCTGTTGATATGTAAAAAGTGTATTACCGTTCCAATGTAAAGAAGAAATATGCTATAGGTTCACAAACTACTAACAGAACAAAACAAATAACTAGCTCGCCTAAATAAAGGAAGTGGTGTGGATTCAGCCAGAAAAATATATACCACTTGTCAGTTTGAGAGACAGAAAATCACACAGCTACCTAGAAGAGCTTTAACTCAATCACAAATAAATCCAACAAGCCACTGCCATTTGAGCTGTTCTGGACGCAGAGTGACCCTAGGGGGCAGATCTTAGTTACACGAGCAGACAGCCTCACCTTCCTCCCACACAGCGGCTAGTAGATTTAACTATGGACCTTGGGTTTAACAGCCTAACTTGTAACCCACTAAACTACAAGAGATCCTTTGAACCAGATACTTGGAAGAAACAAATATACCTTGGCACACAAAGTGAACCAATTAACATAAAATGCAATTTTACATCACTGGTTATATGTGGGGTCTTTAAAAAGGTACTGGGACTATTCCATTATGTTTTAACGTCATTTTCCCACACACTTTTTAAAGTCCTTGTGTGTGTGTGTGTGTGTGTGTGTGTTTGTGTAAAGAATTGAAAGGGCAAGTACAGTTCCATGCTACTTCTTTTAATTAATCATCATTTATAATTTTCAGATTACCTCAATAGGTAATCAAAAATATTAAGGGAAATATTTTCCCTCATACTAACAAATATGTTCTGCTATAAAAGACTACAATATGTCTTTAAAAATCTCATTGATATTGGTTATTATAACAATACTCACCAATTCTTTTCTAAGTTGAATAAAAAACTGCTTGCACTTAAAAGAAACTTTTACAATCTTCAACCTGGGTAAAAGACAAAATGAATTCGATTTTAAAATATTACATAGGTAGGAACTTTAAGGTAACAATTACAGAAATAATTGTTTAAGTAAATATTTGTTACTGCTGTTGAGTTAATTGCAACTCCGAGCAACCCCTACAAATGACGGAAGGAAACACTGCCCAGCCTGGTCCCATCGTCATATTTGAGCGCATTGTGGCTGCCACTGTGTCAACCCATCCTGTTGAGTGTCTTCCTCTTTTTTGGCTGATCTTCTACTTTACCAAGTATGATGACCCTGTGCCAAAGGACGGACCCCTATTGATGGGGTGTCCAAATATGTGAGGGGAAATCTTGACATCCCTGCTTTGAAGAAACATTCTGGCTGATATTTCTTTCAGCACAAATCTGTTTGCTTTTCTGACAGTCCAGGGTATATTTCAATATTCTTTGCCAACAGTAAAATTCAAAGGAATTAATTCTTCTTCCTCACTTTTCAGCTTTCACTTGCGTATTTAGTCATTGAAAATAACATGTCTTGGACCAGTAACATTGTAGTCTTCAAAGTGAAATGTTCCTTTAAATATTTTTAAGATACTTTTGGCAACAGATTTGCCCAGTGCAATACCCAATTTGATTTTGTGACTGCTACACATCCTTGGGCATTAACTGTGGTCCAATAAAATGAAACCCTTGTATCTTTATTTGGTTATATTAAATAGTTTATAGTATATAACCATAAATGTAGTACATAAACAACCTACAGTTATTGGTGTTTCATGGGAAAATAACTAGAATCTATGTTTCAAACTACAAAAATTTTGCCAGAATATGTTATGAATTAGTTTCCCAATTGTATATGGAAATCTCAGCAATATCTGAAGGGAAAAATGTAAGATGCCAAAGTTAATGCAAGACCCTAAAGATATTTTAATTTCATTTTAAAAACTCAATGATTTTTTTTATGTTGCTTTTCTTATGGTCTTTCATTTTATATGCAACTCACATAAAACCATAAAGGGCTATTTGCAAAGCTTCCTTAGCATAATCAACATAAGCAAAGTGACTATGCCTAATTTTTCTACATAATAAGTAACACTCGGAAGACATAAGGGTCATGAGGACAAGCTGAGTCAATCTTACTAAGCCAAATGTGTTGGTACCCTACAAATCTAAGTAAATAGTTTCTAAGTTGGGATCTTCATGACTCATGGCCCTTCCTAGTCAAGCAGCTCCCAGAATTTCCCTAAAATTAAGCATATCACACCTCAATAACTTGCAAAGACAAGTGATAGATAAGACAGCTTGAACATATCTGTCTGGCGAAAAGAAATAGAGATTTCGAGTTTGAAAATTTTAATTGTAGATACTAAGCTTTAGGAAAACAACATGTAAAAACTAGGAAAATTCTTCTATCATATTCTTTTATCATTGTTATACAAGGAAGACTTAAGGGTGGTGATTATTAAACACAATGACCATAAGTTAATGCATTAAAACCTTTCAAACTAACAAACAAACAAAAAACCAACCATGACAAAATCCCACTTATTTCTAAATGATCAGGAGAAGAAAAAATCTCTGTCGATCTTTAAGAAATCATACAAAAATAAGTCTCACATTCAATCACTGCCATCTAGTTGATGCCGACTCACAGCGACCCCTAGGACAGGGTGGAAGTGCCCTGGTGAGTTTTGGAGATTGTAACTGTATATGGGAGTAGAAAGCTCAGATTGTAACTGTTTATGGGAGGAGACAGCTCCATCTTGCTCCTGCAGAGCTGCTGGTAGTTTTGAATTGCAGACCAGTACAATCCCAGCCCAACTCATAATCACTATGCCACTAGGACTCCCTATGTAATACAATGCTTTAAAAATCCTTGGCATAAATATATTTTGAATGACTTCTACTTTCTTGTAATGATTTTTATTTTGCAGGTACAACTTTGATAGATTTTTTTTCCCTCCAGACAAGTGGATGGCACACATGGGTAAGCACTTCACTACTAAAAAACAGGCTGCTTTAACCACCCAGAGGTACCTGGCAAGACAGTTCAGGCATCCTGCTCCTGAAAAATGCCCGCCTTGAAAATTCTGTAATGCAGCTCTACGCTACACACATGAAAGCATCAAAAAGTTCATGGAAAACAGAATGGAAGCATAATGGAACTTGTCCAAGAGCCTTTGGAAGCCCTATTCTCACCAATCAAACCATCATCAAAATACTGACCATTCATCCTACCCCTAAGATTATTCTCCCCACTTTATAGTGTCCCTCTCACACCACTTCCCTCTAACTCTCCCAATCCAGGTGACCACTGATTTGCTGTCTCTACAGATTAGTTTGCACACTAAAATTCATATCAATGGACCCAGAGTATGCAGTCATCGTCATTGATCTTCACTCAGCCTACTTATTTGATCAAGTTTCTAGCTAATGAAATGATAACCCGCAGAGCTTTAAATTTTATTCTAAACACACTTATTTTAAATCTTGGTATTTATACTATTAGTTTTGGTCTGAATATCTTAAATATTAATATGAAATAAAAACAACGGAAATGTACATACCAATTAGAGCTATAACCATAAATTCTCATGAAGTAATTTTTATGCTTCCTTAAAGTTATTCAAGTAGTCTTACATAATACAATGTTAAATACAATTCTAAAAGTTGCTGAAAATTCTAGTAACGCATTTTTTAAAAGGTGGCAAAGTCAAACTGGTAGAATCATACTTTAAGAGGTAAAAGTATGTTGAATGGAAAATATATTTGTTCTATGAACTTTCATTCAAATTACAATAAGGTTTTTTTTTTAAAAAAAAAACCCTAAATTAAAATTAAACAGCTTACTTGATGATTTAGAAAACTATTGATTTGCCTTGGAAAAAATTGATAACGGAACTTGGCTTATGACTAAAAGACTAATAACAATCTAGTGTATCCATTTGTCAAGACACTGCTCCAGTTGTGATCTTACTTTTGTGTTATTACACTGAAGGTGGTAGCCTTGTCTGCCTATCAGTGTGTGGTTCATGTTGTTTTCATTCTTAACAAGCAAGAAAGTGTAGTCTGCATACTAGAGGTGGTTTAGTTTTCTCCCAATCCTAATGCTGTGGTCTTCTTCACAGTCCACCTTTTCACTTGTTAAGCATAGACTGAATGAGAAGTTTGAAAGATATAAGACTACTGCACATCTTTACAATTTTGAACACGCAAGATCCCTTTGTCAGTTTGAACTGTCTTTTGATCTATGTTTAAGTTCTGCATGACTATATTTACAGGTTCTAGAATTCTCATTCTTTGCAATGCTATCCATTATGTGTTATGATTCAAAGGCCTTTGTATAGTTGATAAAACATAAATGTTTGTTTGTTTCGCTTTTATTTTATTTTTAAAAAATCATGTACATTCTGCTTTGGAATGAAGCCTATCTGAGACACCCTCTTCTGAACCTGGCAGCAGTTCCCTGTTGATGGCCCATTATTTAAAAATTACCTTCAACAGAATGTTCCTAGTGTGTGATAGTAATGCATCACTTTTCTTTGGAATGGGCACAAGTACACTAAGCAGGAAGCTCTCTTTCAAACGTGGCGTGAGAGGAAGAAGGGCTTCCAGCGTTGCATCGGTTTGTTGAAAAATCTCAATTGGCGTGTCCATCCCTGAGGCGGTCTTTTTCACAAGCTCCATCAGTGCAGCTCAAAGCTCTTTACTACCTACGCTTCCTGATTGCATGCGACCTCCCCAATGGCTGAGGGCTGACCAACTGTTTTTGGGTACAGTATATTCCGTCTATTTTTATGTTTCCTGCATCATTCAATATAATTCTTTAGTAATGCAACTTGAGGCTTAAATTTGTATTCAATTCCTTCAGCTTGAAAAATGCTGACTGTTCTTGCAAATTCCAGGTCTTTGTACATTTTATAATACCTTGTTTTCCCAAGTCACCCTTTCAAATATCCTAATCTAATCTTTTATTTCATTTCTTCAGTTGGCTTGCACAACTCTGTGTAGGTTCACGTTCAGAGTCACTTCTGATCTTTATTTTGAGTTTTTCCTCCTTTCCTGTCTCTTTAGTGATCTTTCATCTTTCCTAATATATGATTTTAACTTTAAAGAAACTGCCAAACTAATTTCCAGCAATGCATGAGATTGCTAGATATCACACTGTCTCATCATCATTAAGTATTGTCATTCTTTATAATTTGAGCCATTCTAGTGGATGTACAGGAGAAAGATAGGGCCTTCTACTCCCATAAAGAATTACAGTCCCAGAAGCTCTCAGGGACTGCTCTCCCCTGTCCTATAGTGTCACTGTTCTACCCTGTCCTATAGTGTCACTGTTCTACCCTGTCTTGTAGTGACTGTGGGTCAGAATTGACTCAATGGAAAGAGTTTGATTTTAGAGTTTTGTGCCATGTCTATGTTCCAACCAATAAACTAGCATTTAAATGAAATAACATCCTTAGAGTGCTTAGCAGAGTGCAAGACAAACATTCTAGTGTTACCTATTATTTCAATTGCATATATGACGTATTTAGATAATCTAAGAAAATGATTAGTGAGTAAAATTTTCTAATAAGCAATAAAAGAAATCATTAAATTATTTGGTATCTTCAAGTAAGTTCGTACAAAGCAGGGTAATGCATAAGCTGTATCACACAAGTAGATCGATGACATTAAAACAGTACAGTAGCCAATCGTAGTAAATGCAAAATTAGGGAGGGAAGGTCTTACCATGGAAAGGTATTCATCCGTACCCTGTTTTTATAAATCAGAATTCCTCCTGACATCGCTCCAATCATAATTTCATTGTTACTTTGATCCTTAAGAAACAAAACATACCAAAACATAATAAATCTACAACAGTGGGCTTAGTTGTTAAACATATTTTAGAAATCACATCAGTTTTTTTCCGTTTTGCTACAATATCATATCAGATTGCATTATTAAACAAGGATACCAAACTGTGAAGCTACTGTTTTTTAACTTATCATCCATCTCGGCTATACATACGTATGTATACACACACACACACATACACAGTGAATTAGGGGAAGTTTCACAATACAGTGAATTAACAAAAATATTGTGAATTAAGTGAAGCAGGAAATCACTTTTACAGTCAACAACTTATGAAAGTTCTTGCCCTATTTGCACACCTTTCCTACCTGTCTTCCCCATGTGAGGAGCCCTGGTAGAACAGTAGGGTTATGTGTTGGGGACGTCAGCAGTTCAAAAGCACCAGTCACTCCTAGGGAGAAAGACAGAGCTATCTACTCCAGTTAAGAGTTACAGTTTCAAAACACAGGAGTAGTCCCATAGGGTTACTGTGAGTCAGCAGTGAATTGATGGCAGTGAGTTTGGTTTTGGGGTTATTTTGGCCTCCTTCATGTAGAATATTATCTTCTCCTTTGCCAACTGTTTACTCTCTATATTACTTCCCCTTTCCTCTCTGGTAACCCTCAAAGTCTGTTTCTTTTGATATAAAAGCCTATCTTGATGTTTTAAAACAATAGTGGCCTCATAAAATCGTTGCCTTTTTGTGGCTAACGTCACACAGCATGATGTCAATCAAATCCATCCAAGTCATGAGTTGTTTCAGTTTTAGGATTAACAACAACAACAAAAATACGTGACATTATCTAAGTCAATAAAGAATTGCATAATACAAACCAAAATGGCTAATTTTACCTTATATTGGCCAAAATACGTAATTGTCACCTAATAAAAATTAAGGATAAACTTCAAAACAAACAAAGATTACATTATTAAAATTCTTTAACCTAAAACAGAAAATGATCTCAGAATTTCCCATCGCTGAAGACTGAGCCCAACTCTGGTACAGGGGCCAGAATCCAGACATCAATACTCCTTGACTCGCAGAAGGATGAGCTAACAGGCATGCTTCCATTTCCAAAATTGTTATGAGGCAGATGTGGTGCTTAGATTATAAAAAATAATAGAGCATTTAGAGATCAGAATCTGGTGATATATACCTGCAGTATAATGATAAGTCCTCTATTAAAAAGATCATCTGAGTACAGAGTAGGGAATATTTCTTACAGTCTGGAAAACCCCAAATCCACTGCCATTGAATCAATTCTGCCCCTTAGAACAGAGTAGAACTGCCCAATAGAGTTTTCTAGGCTCTAGTCTTTATGGAAGTAGACTACCACATCATCCTCCCATGGCGTAATTCAATCTGCCGACCATTCGCTCAGTTACCAGCCGAGAACTTAACCACTGCACCACCAGGGAGCCTTTGGAAGGCTCTAGAAAAGAAAATTTAAACTGTGCCTGGATAAATGAATTTCATGCCAGTAAGTAGAATTTAATACTTGTCTCAGATGCTAACTAACTCTGAAACAGTTTTTATTTTTTATTTTAAACATTCCAAAGGGAATAAAGGTTTTACCTAAACCATTAATTTGCTTGAAAGACAGAATAGAAACATAAACAATATTTTACAACTTAATCCCTAAACTACATCCCGAGGAACATAGTTTTAGTAATTATTAATTAAATAAAACCTTATTACATTAATTTGTTGGATAGAAGAACTAGCCAAAAACAGCAACACTGTATTATCAGTCTAATTGTAAATTTTTAGTTAGCCCTAACCAGCACTAATATTTATACTATTTGTACACTATTATCAGAGTTCAAAGGACATCAACTAAAACTTTAGGTTACGATGGCAGAAGGTCCCTACGCAGTACCCAAATTATATATAGGATGCAGAACTCTATGTGCAAATACTCGACACCCTTAGTCAGACAAAAGAAGAACATTATGCCAAGATATTAATTTGAAGTTCTTATTTAGTTCAAGTTGAAGACAGCACATTAAATAAATGCTTCTTCCTAACCCATCCCTTTCACTCCCAATGTCTTAAAACGTCAGAGAAGATACATTGAAAGAGAAAGTCTCTAATACTTGAAAACAATCCATAACACTCAAAGTTATGTTAGCAATAGAATAAATGAGACCTATGAGGTGGTGAGGGATAGAGTGTTCAGACAACCACAATCCAAGTGACACACAAGAAATCACTCTACTGTTGTAGAAGTTCAAACAGTACCAAAGGCAATGGACAAAGGCCCTCAAAGTACTGATCCAATAGATCTTGTACTTGGACATTTGTTAAATTTTCCATTATGCTTTCTTTTTCACAGATATCTATGGCAAAGAAAGGAAAAAGGGTGGGATCAGGGCTTTGGAGGTACAAAGCACCTGAAATTTACTATTTGTGCCCTGAATTAAAGGATTCCCCCCCCCCCAATATATCTGTTATTAACTGTTTACTTATGTACCTATCTATGTTACTGTCTATGTATTTTTTCCTTTTAAAAAATGAATTTCGGGTGCATAAGCAAATGTGGCGAAGAAAGCTGATGGTGCCCGGCTATGAAAAAGTATAGCATCTGGGGTCTTAAAGGCTTGAAGGTAATCAAGTGGCCATCAAGCTCAGAAGCAACAAAGCCCACATGGAAGAAGCATACCAACCTGTGCGATCACAAGGTGTCGAAGGGATCAGGTATAAGGCATCAGCAGAACAAAAAATCTTACCATAGTGAATGATGGGGGGAGTGTGGAGTGGAGACCCAAAGCCCATTTGTGGGCCACTGGAGATCCCCTTGCAGAAGGGTTTTGGGGAGGAGACGAGCCAGTCAGGGGGCGATGTAGCAATGATGAAAAATACAACTTTCCTCTAGTTCCTAAATGTTTCCTCCCCGCTCCCACTATCATGATATGAATTCTACACTGCAAATCTGGCTAGACCAGAGGATGTACACTGGTACAGATAGGAACTGGAAATACAGGGAATCCAGGGAGGATGATCCCTACAGGACCAGTGGTGTGAGTGGTGATACTGGGAGGGTGGAGGGAGAATGGGTTGGAGGGAGGGAACCGATTGCAAGGAAATGTATGTGACCTCCTCCCTGGGTGACGGATAACAGAAAAGTGGGTGAAGGGAGACGTCGGACAGGGCAAGATATGACAAAATACCAATTTATAAACTATCGAGGGCTCATGGGGGGGGGGGGGAGGGGGGAGGGAGGGGGAAAATGAGGACCTAGTGCCGGGGGCTTAAGTGAAGAGGAAATGTTTTGAGAATGATGAGGGCAATGAATGTACAAATGCGCTTTGCACAATTGATGTATGTATGGATTGTGATGGGAGCTGTATGAGCCCCTAATAAAATTATTTTTAAAAAAAAGAATTTCATTTTTTACTTACCCTTTCCTCCCATCTCCTCCTCACTTGCCCCAGCTTCTCCTTAACTAGCAAAGTCTCCTTCTTTTAGTGCAAAAAACATTTTTCTTTTATAACAGTAGTCTGATGCAGAATATCTTTGAGGCTTAACTTCCCTCAGCTTCCAAATTCATCCATGGTATTCCACAATGTCATCATTATTATTATTTTTTTTAAACATTTTATTAGGGGCTCATATAACTGTTATCGCAATCCATACACACATCAATTGTGTAAAGCGCATTTGTACATCGTTTCTCAAAACATTTTCTCTCCACTTAAACCCCTGACATTAGGTCCTCATTTTGTCATCATTATTCTTTAGAGATGCACAGTATTGTTTTATTTTTAGTTACCCATTTCTCCAGCAACAGTCATTTAGGTTTTTTCTTTTTGCTATCGTACACAGTTCTGAAATAAAAATTGGGGTGCATGTATCTGCTAGGGCTTGCTCAGTAATAAACCTGTGCATGTATGAAGTGGAAACCTCATAGCAACACCTTTTTACTTATCCTACTTAACTCTTCTTAAGCCATTTTTTAAAATAACATACAAAATGTAAATAAGGTTAATGCCTTCTTGGTTGTACACATGCAGTTTATCATGCCGTGTGAAGGAATGTCTTAACTGTCTTTCTTTAGAGCTTACCTGTGATTAAAGATGTGTATAGGTGCCCATTTGACTAACGTAAGCTATAATAGTTACTGTGAGGTGTCAACTCACCAGGCTATAATTCTCACTGGTCTGACAGATACTATTCAATCACCTTTCCATTTTGTGATCTGATGAGACCAGCCAATCAGTTGACGGGGAAATTTCTTAAAGGTCTGGCTTACTTCCATTCATATAAATGACTGTTCTGGGAAGGTTTCCTCTTTCTCTTAACCCTGTACTCTCCTTCTCACATTCTATCCTAGGATGTGAACCTGAAGAAGTCTCTGGTCTGCCACCTGACCTGCAGATTTCGGGTTTGTAAGCCCTAGCAACCATAGTAGCCTGCCCAGGTCTCTACCCTTCCCTCTGACTGGCAGAGCTGGGTTCATTGACCTACAGTCGCCTAGGTTAGCAGAGGTTTTCAGTCTGCTCTACTGCTGGCCCATGGAGCTAAAACTTGCCTGTCCCTCAACCTGTGAGCCATTTCCTTCAAGTAAATTTCCCTCTACAACTAAGGGGGTGGGGGTCTTCAAAATGTTCCTGGGAAAATTCCATTATTTTTTAATCCCATTTGTCCACAACCCTTTGGAAGCCTCCTTGCATTTACAGGATCCACACTGTCTCTATTTAGAGATTATGAGCAGCTAAAGATGTATAAGTACCAATTTGACTAAGGGTGGCCTATAATGAATGGTTACTGTTAAACTAGTTTTGCTAGTTGAGAGAACCGAGAGACGAATAACTTTTCGTGTATATGGGGGTTTGGGTGGGTGGAATACAGAACACTAAGCATTTAAAACGTTCATGGAGGAGCTACTGGTACACTGGCAAAATAGGCAGACACACGACAACAAAGATGTGAGATCAAGTGAAACAGACACTGATGATCACGCTGGTATCCTGAGCATGATAG